AATAACGTTAAATATAAGGACTTAGGAACAACTATGGATAACAAACTTGGCAATACTGTGCAATGTCGGTCTGGCTTTACCAAGGCTATATAGGCGGTATCATGTATAATAAGGGGTATTGATTCTCGAGATCAATATAGAATTTTGCCTGTTAATAAATAAATGGTAAGACCCCCCCATCTTGAATATGAACTGCAGTTTTTTGCAGTACTAGAAAAAGTGCAGAGGCAAGCTACAAAATTAAAAAGAGGGATGGAAAATATTAGTTATGAAAAAAAGACTATAAAAAACGCATTTGTTTTCTGTTGAGGAGACAAGTTGCAAATACATACAGGGCAGGGCCGTCTTTAACGCGGGGCAAACGGGGCAGCTGCCCCGGGCCCAGTTGCTCCTGGGGGCCCAGAGCAGCTGCTCTGTGGGCCCCGCGATTTGCGCAGCCCCTATGGAACGGGAGGCTCCCCGAGTGGCCCATGCACTGTCAGCAGGGGCCCGGTCGGGCGCTGTGGCGCTTAAACAGTGCGACCGGGCCCCTCTTCCGGTTCTGCAGCCGGCTGGGAGGAAGTGACGTCACTTCCTCCCATCGGAGATAGCCGCATGGGAGGAGGAAGGCAGGGAGGAGGGGAGTTCCAGAGGAGAACTCCCATCTGCCTCAGCCTGCCACTGGACCAGGGAAACCACCCTCCAGAAAAAGGTAAGAACCTGGAGGGTGGCTAAATGTATGTCAGTAGGTCTGTGTGTGTGTGTGTGTGTATGTCTGTGTGTATGCCAGTATGTCTGTGTGTGTGTGTGTGTGTGTGTGTGTGTGTGTCAGGCATGTCTGTGTGTGTGTATGTGTGTGTGTGTGTGTCTGTGTGTGTGTTAGTCGGTATGTCTGTGTGTGTGTCAGTATGTCTGTTGTGTCTGATGTCATCTGTGTGTGTGTATATGTCTGGTGTGTGTCAGTATGTGTTTGTGCATACCAGTATGTCTGTGTGTGTGTGTGTGTGTGTTGTGTGTCTGGTATGTCTGTGTGTGTTTATAGGTCTGTGTGTGTGTGTGTCAGTATGTCTGTGTGTATGCTTGGTATGTCTGTCTGTGTGTGTGTGTGTGTCAGTATGTCTGTGTGTGTATATGTCTGTGTGTGTGTGTCAGTATGTCTGTGTGTATGCCAGTATGTCTGTCTGTGTGTGTGTGTGTCAGTATGTCTGTGTGTGTGTATATGTATGTGTGTGTGTGTCAGTATGTCTGTGTGTATGCCAGTATGTCAGTGTGTGTGTGTGTGTCAGTATGTTTGTGTGTATGTAGGTATGTCTCTGTGTGTGTGTGTACGTGTGTGTCAGTATGTCTGCCAGGATATATTTGTGTGTCAGTGTATGTGTGTGTCAGTATATATCTGTGAATGTTTTAATGTCTGTCTGTGTGTATGTGCCAGTACGTCTGTCTGTGTGTATGTCAGTATGTGTGTGTCAGCATGTCTTTGTGTGTCAGCATGTCTGTGTGTGTATATAAGTATGTCTGTGTGTGTATGTATGTGTCAGTCAGTATGTCTGTCAGTGTATGTGTCTGTGTGTGTGTGTATGTATGTATGTATGTCTGTGTGTGTGTGTGTGTGTGTGTGTGTGTGTGTGTGTCAGTATGTCTGCCAGGATATATTTGTATGTCAGTGTATGTGTGTGTCAGTATATATCTGTGAATGTTTTAATGTCTGTCTGTATCAGCCATTACGTCTGTCTGTGTATATGTCAGTATGCGTGTGTGTGTGTGTGTGTGTGTGTGTCAGTGTGTATGTCAGTATGCCTGTGTGTGTGTGTCAATGTGTCTGGCAGTGTATTTGTCTGTGTATTTTAGTATATCTGTCAGTGTATGTGTTTGTGTGTGTGTCAGTATATCTGTTATTGTATGTGTCTGTGTATGTATGTATGTCTGTGTGTGTGTCAGTATGTCTGCCAGTATATATTTGTGTGTAGTGACTGTGTGTGTCAGTATGTATCTGTGAATGTTTTAATGTCTGTCTGTGTGTGTGTACGCCAGTACGTCTGTCAGTGTGATTGCGGGTTGGACGTAATTGGGGGGTGAGGCAGGGACAGGGCCCATGGGGCCCAAGAAAATGCATTGTCCAGGGTCCTAATCATATTATAGACGGCCCTGATGCAGGGTTAATACAATCTGCTAGGTGCTAACCTATTCATTAGCAGGAATGTACAACAGACAAGAGGTTATCCACTGGACAAAAGGTGTTTTCGTTTATAGCAGAGGAAAAGGGTTCTCTTTTCTAGGAACAATAAAGATGTGGAATTCTCCACCAAACAAGGTTATTTTATCAGATTCTGTAGATATTTTTTAATACAGACCTAGATGTATGTTTGGAAGAACAGAATATTCAAGGAGATAATTAATATGTATGTGAACAGGTTGTTGATTCAAGGAGATGGTAAAACTCAATGGACATGAGTTTTTCTTCAACTATGTTACTATGTAACTAAATAACTACCCTTATTTTTTTTAGAATGTTTTTAAATAATACTGTATTGCTAGACAAAGACCATGTGAGGGTGGAAACGTTGCATTTATACTGCTCCAATAAACCTGCTTTTTGTTTGTTACACTTTGAGTGCCTGGACCATCTTCTACTTTCCAAACTGTGAAGTGAGGTTTGGCCTACCTTGGGTCTGGCTGTACCCTGGGAATAAAGGAAGTGCAGTATCCTCTGTACTATTGGATAATGTATTAATGTGACATGCCTCTGTATAGTGGACGCATTTAAAACTTTTTTGAATTTCTAGATCCCATAATTTATTAAGTATTTATGATTTCAGAATTGTGTTCTTCAACATGCACTTTGCTTGTAATGTACACTGTGTACGCACCTGTATTTTATTTATTTATTTATTTATTTATAAAATATTTTACCAGGAAAGATACATTGAGATTTCTCTTGTTTTCAAGTATGTCCTGGGTCCACAAATCATTGCATTGTTACATTAGGGTACAATAAAATACAAAACCAACATTAATACACAATAAATACAAAAGTTAACATAGAATAGGTAGGAAATATATAATCAACCATGACACGTGCATTCTGTTTTGGGGTATGTAGAGAGGGATCTCTTAAAGGACTTTAGGCTTAGGGAAGATTTCAAATTGTGTGGGAGGTCGTTCCACAATTGCGGTGCTTTGTAGGAGAAGGAGGATCGGGCTGCTTTCTGTTTGTACTGAGGTAGACTAAATAAAGTGCTGGTACTGGATCGGAGGTTATAGGAAGTGGGAACAGCTGGGGAAAGCATTTTGTTCAGGTAGGGTGGCAGTTTCCCAGAAAAGCTCTTAAACACAAGGCTGGAAAGATGAAGGGTGCGTCTGGATTCCAGCGACAGCCAGTTTAGTGCTTTTAGCATGTCACAATGGTGAGTCCTGTAATTACATTGTAGCACAAATCAACAGAACGAGTTATACAATGTGTTGTTTATTAATGTGGGATTGCGATGCAAATGCATATACTACATCCCCATAATCAATGATTGGCATCAGCATTTGCTGTTCAATCTTTTCCTTTACTGTAGGGCTTAGGCAGGATTTGTTTCTGTACAGGGCACCTAGTTTTGGAT